ATAATAATACCTTGATTGTACATGTACATGTACATGTACATGAGGTTACAGAGAGCGGAGTCCTCCGGTTCGATAGAGTGCTCAATGCGGAAGCAGAGCAGTAACACACGAGTCACAGAGTACCACGAGTCACAGAGTACCACGAGTCACCACAGAGTACCACGAGTCACAGAGTACCACGAGTCACAGAGTACCACGAGTCACAGAGTACCACGAGTCACAGAGTACCACGCGTCTGGTTTGTTGTAACTAATAGTGTCATGCCAGATGGCAATCTTCAGACAACTGATAACAGTGATGCACAGCCAGTATGGTATTTATACAGTGGCATAGGAAGGAACCTGTGAAGGCTTGAGGTCCGGTGGGTGCAAAAAGTCCTGGAGGGAAAATGTGCCAAACTCCCATAGTCCGTGAGTGAGAAAAGAAATTATTATGATATGGCATGAAGGCAAGCGAGGCTGAACATATCCGATCGCGGAATCATGTGACTTGCAACCACATGGCGCGCGACAGCCCCTTCTAGGGACCGGCGGATTCTGCTCGAAAATGTGGCAGATTCTGCTCGAAAAGCAGTGAAATTGGCAGAACCATACAAACCTTATGGCGGGCAATTCCTCGGATTCTGCTCCATTTCTTTATCCACATACCAAACATGCATGAAACTTACCAGAAAAAGTACCGAATTCTGCCAATTTTTCTGCCGGCAGAATCCGCCGGACCCTATTGACAACGGTGTCATCCATGAAGCTGGCTAGGTCCAGTTCCGAAAATCGTGCATCTGAACCCGTCCGGCTTCGTCCGGAGACTTGACGTTGCAAACCAACCTTCTCAGTGGATTGTCATTGGAAGCTTCCTCACTGCTGTTTAAAAGTTTTTTTCTTCTACGCTTTGGCCTTGATCCAAGACGGCCTTCTTAAATCGACTTTTCCAACTTTCAAACTGGCATTATGGATATTCGCTCCCTTGTCATTGGAAATGTTCAGTCCGTTCGGTTTGCGAATTCAAATAAACACAACCAACCAACCATGGAGTAGTGTGAGCATTATAAGTGGCATTATATCCTCATATTATGAGCATTGCCTTTCGCATTATCGCAGCAAAAAAACTAGCATTACCCGCCCATGCCTAACAGCCCGCCAGCGGTATACTGTACAGCTACAGCCCCTAGGCCTACCATATTTTTATTTTTTATTTTTTTATTTAAAGGATCTCCCAGAGGCGATGGCCTGCCGAGGGGATCTCCTGATGCAAATCATGCAATAGAAATAAACAGTGAGGAAAACTACACGTGTTTATACAGTATATGCTACATGTACATAATGAGCAATAAACACAGGGCTGGGTTGTTCAAAATAAAACAATTAGTTTAAATGTCCAGAGATATACATGTACCACTACAGTCAAATTTAAACCTTTTCACGTGCAAGCGATATTGCTGCTGAAATTTAGAAAGTGAATCTTGGGATGTCAGCCTTGGTGGAAGGCAGTTCCACAGCCTTCCGATTTTATGCATAAAGAAAGAAGAAGAGATGCGTCCATGAGAATTTAGAATCAGTTTGTTTGGTCGGCGTGCGCTAGAAGAGATATTGATGTCAAAGCGGGATAGATAATCTGGGTGCCAATGGATGTACTTGAACAAAACGGTGATGGAAATGTACGTGCGTCGGAAGTGGAGGGATTCCAAATTACACAGCCTATTTAAAATTTATTCTTCGATTCATAGCGATCACAATCAATCTTAGCAGACCGCAGCAGGCATCTGCAGATCTTTGCTTGTAAAATGTCAAGCGATTCTAGCTGGCTAGCGGTAAGTCTGAAGCACCAGACAGGGATAGCGTACTCTACTGTACTGTGCCTGTGGGTTATACATAATATTATGACTTGTAGAGTAGGGCAATATGTGCATGCGATAGATGACGGCCCCATAAATTATGTCTACTACCAAGAGTACATAACCCCCCAGAGTGTGCAACGCCTGATCCAGCTCTGCATAGGGTCTTGGTCGAGCGGAATCGGATCTTTGCGTCATAATACCGTACACATCTGAGGGGAACCCGGGGAGTCGCGGGTACTCTTGGATCAAAAACAATGGTGCCCTGCCTCGAGACCGGCCTTGCGCTGGTGTGAAGTGTACGCATGACATCAGAAGATCCGATTCCGCTCGACCAAGACCCTACACAGAGCTGGATCGGCGTTGCACACTCTGGGGGGTTATGTACTCTTGCTACTACATGTACTAGTATACCAGACTACCACCGGCGGCACCGCTGCTAGAGATCTGGTGCGAAGTGTGTAGACTGTTATCATGGTTATGACCAGGGAGTCGTAAAATACCGGTATTTTACGACTCCCTGGTTATGACTAAGTCTTGTACTAGTTGTAGTCCACCCGTAGATTTGTCTACATACATGTAGAGTCTACAGACCAGTCATAATCACTGCACAACGTACATAATCATTGTAGATCTACGGCTGTACTCTGTAGTGTAGCTAGCTAGCTAGTAGTACTACAAAGCTAGCCGTGTTCACCATGTTCACGACTTCCTGGTGCACATCAACAATTAACATACCGGTAGCTAGCAGGCAGGCATAGTGGGATGGTCTAAGGCCATGATTGAGAAACAGAGGGTACCAGGTTCAAGTCCTGCTTGGAAGCGGAAGGATTTTTCCAGTCGTGCTGCGACCCACAGTTAATAGACCAATCCCGAAAAGATTGTCTGGGTTCGTGAAAGGGGGCACGCGTGAAAGCCAGCACGTGTGAAGTGCATCGTTTTGTATTCAGTTTGTGTGTGTCAGCTCATGGCGGAGGAGAGAGAGACTTTTGCTCGCCGAGCTGAAGCTAAAGGATTTGATGGAGTCGTGCCAGCAGCTAGTCAAAGGACCTTTGGTACCTTAGGCCGACCCTGACGGAGTTTGGAGGCCAGATAGCTCTCAGTGAGGAGAGAAGCATTCGCGTGGCGATCGACTCTCCGTAAAAAATGCAAGCTACATAGCGCCGACATACTGCAACAGCTACGATTTCAGCTAACTAACGTTACTTCTCGATCTGCTCCTTCACAACGTTCAACTATTTACTAGTCCTGACTGTTGTAGTCTGAAGCTGGAGTCTCATCGCCCACCTACAGGTAGCTTTTGGAGCTGATGGATTTCCCGACTTGGACTCCTTCCGCAAACTCTCGCAACATTACTACAGTGTATGCTGTGTTCCGCACGCTCGTGTCGACATGTCACCTATACTGTACATGTACCGGGTCGCGGAGGAGCTTGACGACCTCCGCAGACTCCAGGTTTCCGAAATACTGCCGTCGTCTTCGTTGATGTCGCTGGTGACATTCTCCCCTTGCAGGACGTGCACATAGTTGTCGTCCTGGGGGTAAAGACTATGTTGTCTTTCGAAATAGTTCTTCATCACGCTCGCGCGAATGATGTTTCTCATCATGAACTCGTTCCGACGGTGTGACCAGGTGACACGGCGATGGTCTTTGGCGGGGCACTGGCTTGGCCAAAACGATATCTTCTTGTGCAATATAACATTGATCGGCTGCAGATGAGTACAGTCACTTCGTGGTTGATCCTATAGGAGGGCAGCTGCCAGGAAAGAGGCAGGACTCATCGAAGACGAAGCGCTCGCAACAAACAATAGCACTCGAAATACTTCGTAAGATTTAGGGCCTATCGCTTTGAGCCACAGCGCTCACAGCCTTGCCTACTTCATCAAAGTGAGCTCTACATGTTCGTTGACCTCTTCACACTACACAGAAGAGCGAAACAAGGATTATCTCTAAGCATTTCAACTCCAACAGCAGACCATTACCAGTGCGAGAGAGAAAACTACAAAGGGCTTCGCTTTCTGTCGCATCGTCTCTCTTGCATGCAACTAACGAGAAAATCGTGTACTTACCCTCGCATTCACACGCGAACTATCAAACACGTCCTGTGCCGCATGCTGATCAGGTAGTGCCATGTATGTGTTGTACAGTGCACTCTCAGTTGACATGCCCCCTTTCGAACCCAGACAATCTTTTCGGGATTGGTCTATTGGGAACTCGTGGCCTGGCACGAGGAAAACATGGATGCAGTGAATGGGATTTTCGGTCTTTGACCACTTGCTGGTGAGCTGATCTACTCACCTCCCACCGCTTTAGGAGCTGCATCTGCGCCTTGATCCTTGAAGTTGAAGGGTGGTGGCGTTCCTACGGATGCGGAAAACCCGGCTTCCAGCCGAGTCTCACGCGAACCGTGAAAAAAAAAAATTAGCTAGTTGCCCGATCCATGACAAATAAAAGTACATTGTATTAGGCCAAACTAAAGAAGGTGTGTGGTTCGACTCACCCGACCGACCGTACAATTTCAGCCCGACCGTAACTTTTTTTCGGCGGGCTGTCGTGTGACTGACGTACGTGGACTGAACACGTCCACGTCTACGTGCTGTGCGGCGTGAGTCTGCGGACGCAGGCGGCTCCTATTGGACTTGACTTGTAGTTGTACTGCAGTGCAGTGCAGTGAGTGGTACGACTGCTGCCTTTGTGCTGGTAGTAGAGTCTACTCGATACGCGTATACAGTGTATTTACATGTACTAAAAAATATATTAAAAAAAAAAAATCCGCCCGCCCGCCCGTAAAAAAAATGTCCATGTTAGTCGAACCACACACCTTCTTTAGTTTGGCCTTATGTGAAGTCCTGGCCAGAGAAATCCGATTCTTGTCTCTAGCTCTGGCTAGCACTACACACTGTATACATGTACATGATGTACAGCAGCAGAAAAATCCGTCTGCCTTGCCTGACGTGGTCGGCCCCGGGCTGCGTAGTGCGCAGCCGCCAAGTCTTTTCACACTGACTGTAACCAGGTAACAGCGACAATCACTGCACTGCACTAGTACAATCTACATGCATGCATGCACGGTCGGTGTTGCCACTGTATGAAGTACCGTACCGCGTATGATCTGTGTGTACGCGCACGAGCGCCTCGGTGTATCGCTGGATAACTTCCGAAGAAGCTCTAGCGACGAAAGTTAGTTAGTTCTGGCTGCAGCGTTTTCGGGCGGTCTTCCAAGTTTCAGCTTCTTGTCCATAGCCGCTCACGACTGTTCATCCTTCAGCCATGTCTCTCTCAGTTTACGCCCTGATCAGCATTGCGCTGCTTGTCCTCGCTGGACCGAGCGGTAAGACCTAGCTTGAGAACCGAAATCTGTTTCGCTGTGTATGCGGGGGTGTTGGTGTGTCGGACGAGCTGCAAAATACTTCTCTCTCTGATTTGGGCATATCAAAAATTGCTGCCGAGATTTTGCAGGTAACCCACACCCACAGCTTTGCGGCTCCTGGTGGTTCTCCCCTCTATTACCTACTACACTAGAACTAATGCCGTGCTGGCACTGGCACTCAGGCTGGCACGACACGTGGTTATGAATGTTACAAAAATAATAACCATGTTGTCCTGCAAAGATAGCTTGCCAAGGCCGTTTTACTGGCGGGTGTTGTTTGCGAGTGCAGCTCAAGCATAATGTTTGTTTCTTCCTACACGTGTCGCCTGTATAACTTTATGCGAACGGCTCTACCGGTCCGTGTTCCTTGCGTCTGTATGGCTTCGTTGTGATAATTATATACACTAGTGTATATATGATGTATGGTCGTACATGTAGCTGGCGAGGGGCCTTGTCCTCCTGTGATACGCGGAATTGCATTCTCCTTTCGGATTTTGTCGCTAAATCTGCGATGTCTCTTGTCCCTCCGACCTCATTCCTATGGCTATGCCTATGGTCTTCTTTTGTGCCGGCTGCCGAGAGAAAGAAAAAGCCATTCCGATTCATGCGTCCTTGATTCATGAGAGCGACACGCAAGAGTTGAAGTCTGTCGATTCACAGCTGGTGCACGAAAGTAGCCCATGGCCTAGGGAGGTCTACCACGTGCAGTTTGGTCTCGACACGACTGTGTAAAGCATGCCCAATGCCATGGTCATGTAAGGTTCCCCATCCAGCGCACGGCAAAACAGCCTGCTTGGCATTTCGAGATGTACTGTGTCTGTGGGAGTTTTCCTGAACGGTGAGGGGTAGTTTTAGCCGTTAGACCATTTTGGACTTGTGTTCACCAGGTGTATCTTTTGAGGGTTACCGCAACGATTTTGTTCTATTCGGCTGAGATCGAAGGGAAACGATCACTCACAGTCGAAGGCTTGCAAACAAGCGAATGAAGAAGAATATAGAATTCAGAGACAGTAAAATAATGAAGAATTCCGATAGTGATAAAATGAGCTATCAATGATGAGAGTCGGCCCAGTAGGACCGTTCAATTTTTTTCTTCCTTTTGAAGCGGTCGTGCGAGTATCGCCAATTGCAACAAGAAAGGACCGAGGAGACAGCAAGTGTTCCGAGTCAACAGCTGACTCAGGGCCGGCGGAGCCGCTCCGGACCAAATTTTCGGCCACCGACGATATTTTTTTACGACCCAGTAACGTTATGTTGTGATCATCGATTGCATGTACGCGTACTTGCGATCTCGCTCTGATCTTGCCGTGCACGCGTGCCCGCTTGAGGGCTAGAGTAGAACCCGGGTTAAGGATCACACCAGATTAGGGATCGGAGCCCGGGGGGGGGGAGGGGGCACTTGGCACGTACATTGTGCGGGTGATCCTTCGGAGCCCGGGGGGGGGGGGGCACTTGGCATGTACATTGTGCGGGTGATCCTTATACGCACTTGCGACCAGAGAACTCCCCACTCGCAGCACGGGAAGAATGCGAGACCAAACAGAAGAGTATGCTGAGTTGCGATCAGGAAATGCTGAGCTGTACTGAAAACAGGGGTTAGCTAAGTAGGCACGGTGATGCCAGCACTCTGATTCGCCAGCAATACACGAACACAAATGAGCAAGATCGCTTGGAGAAAGGACGTCTTCTCCACTCGTCTCCCAAACGCCCCCTGTAGTTCTGCAGAGGGTTGAGAAAGGTGCCCAGTGGACAGGACTGCCCGGATCTGGGGAATCCGGAATAGCGGAGGTTTGTTGTACTTCGGTGCTACATGACTCGTGACTAAAAGCATACAGAACGAATGCTAAATGTTGGTGGCCGCGTTGAACAGTGAGAATGAGACCAGGATGTGTTCGATTTGTCGTAAATCACCAGCACTGATGCCTTACAAGATAGATACAGCCCTGGGTTGATTATTTGAACACATTGTTTGAGGCCCGTCTCTGTTCAGATAGGTGAACTATTCATGTAATTGAGCTTTGGTCACCTTATAGTTTTTTTTTAAGCTCAAGCCTCTTGGACGGGCAAAAATACCGTCTTTATCAGTAAGAGAAATGCAACTAAAACCCAAAACAATTTTAAAATGTAAAGAACTAAAAGCAAATAAAAAAACTCTAAGCAAATGAAAAGAACTCAACGCTAATGAAAAGAACCCAAAGCAAATGAAAAGAACCCAAAGTTAAAGAAAAGAACCCAGCCAGCCGCACACGGAGCACACAAGAGGCAACAGCATAAATAAGGTAAACTTCCTCGAAAACGTAACAGTGAAATCCATGAATTTAGACCGGAACTTGAGCCTCCGACACAGCTAGTGCAGCAGACGGAGCACCAGCCTCCAGAACCACGGGACGTGCGAACAGCTTCCTGCAGCCTCGGAGACACATAATAAAATACCTAAGTAGCGAGAAAGACAACCTACATCGAACATAGACCATGACGTGACAATACTGCTCGGATTTCTTTGCTGCCAGAAGAGCGGCCACCCTTGCGAAACAATGCCGACGCCGCCTTCCCCATCCCTCCACTTGCCGCCATCACCACTGGTCACCTTATCATCAGTTTCTCCAACGTGCTAAGTTTTGATTTTCGATTGGACATTTATCAATGGCTATGTTAATTGCAGTTAGACCTAGATGAGTATGCTGCTATATGGAGCCTTTGCAACACTCCATGTACACTAGCACGGGCCGCTGGGAAAATGCAAACAATGTTGCATTCTGGTAGCGAGGCTCTCCAGGTATGTGCTGCCCACATCGTAAAGAGTTGGTTGCCGCCTGTGGTTTAGTTGTTTGGAGGAATGACACTGGCCGGCTGATGGACTGCAAACGTAACAGTGAAATCCATGAATTTAGACCGGAACTTGAGCCTCCGACACAGCTAGTGCAGCAGACGGAGCACCAGCCTCCAGAACCACGGGACGTGCGAACAGCTTCCTGCAGCCTCGGAGACACATAATAAAATACCTAAGTAGCGAGAAAGACAACCTACATTGAACATAGACCATGACGTGACAATACTGCTCGGATTTCTTTGCTGCCAGAAGAGCGGCCACCCTTGCGAAACAATGCCGACGCCGCCTTCCCCATCCCTCCACTTGCCGCCATCACCACTGGTCACCTTATCATCAGTTTCTCCAACGTGCTAAGTTTTGATTTTCGATTGGACATTTATCAATGGCTATGTTAATTGCAGTTAGACCTAGATGAGTATGCTGCTATATGGAGCCTTTGCAACACTCCATGTACACTAGCACGGGCCGCTGGGAAAATGCAAACAATGTTGCATTCTGGTAGCGAGGCTCTCCAGGTATGTGCTGCCCACATCGTAAAGAGTTGGTTGCCGCCTGTGGTTTAGTTGTTTGGAGGAATGACACTGGCCGGCTGATGGACTGCAAACGTGAAACTGCTGTGGCTGCTTGAGCCACAACGCTGGAGCAGCAGCTTACTTATCCTCTCTGGATAGTTGGCAGCATTTTTTCAATTGTTACGCTTCATTCCCGTCTGTGTCCCTCTTTGTCTCTGTCTCTCTCTGTCTCTCTCTGTCTCTCTCTCTCTGTCTCTCTCTCTCTGTCTCTCTCTCTCTCTCTGTCTCTCTTTCTCTCTCTCTCTCTCTGTCTCTCTCTCTCTCTCTCTCTCTCTCTCTCTCTCTCTCTCTCTCTCTCTCTCTCTCTCTCTCTCTCTTTGTCAACTCTAGCTGCCGACACCTACTGCGGATTGGTGACTTGCCCGCCGGATGGCTATCCTGACCTGGTTGACTGCTGCTCAAATGACAGCTTAAACACAGGCTGCTGCTCTGGCATTCTCCTTGCTGGATGGTGAGGAATATTTTAGGAGTATCTCTGTGTTACATGTCAGTGGTTGCACTGGAAATGCGGTGAATACAACGGAGAGTTCTGTGGTAGTATTTGCCATAACAATCCTAAAATGCGGGTCATTGATTCAGCACAACTCTTGCAAATATCCGGCACTATGGTTATATATCCTGACCATGATGACGACGAGAGACGCTGGCAAAGAGATCCACTTCAAAGCATCTCTTGTGTTCCATGCCATGTTGTCATCTCATGTTCCGTGTATTGTTGTCATGCCTGCAGGGCTATCGGTGTGATAGCGACTGGGTGCATCCTGACGGTCGGCGGCATTATCATGTGCTGCCTGTGCTGCGCGTGCTGCCCCTGTTTCCAATACCGCCAGCAGAGGCAGACAACCTACGTCACAACCACTGCTTACCAGCCCATGCCGGTCGCCACTGCCGCAACCACTAGTACGTACCCATACAGTGCCGCATCAATATAGTAAAACCCAGAGTCCGAGTCTGTAATCCCAAGAGCATGCAGCTCTGGTCTCCGAGCTTTGGGTGCTGCGCGCAGCACATTGCCTTCGTTACGCTGCAAAATGATGCTCCCAGCAAACTGGATTCGATTTTCCTTTTGCTTACGGGCAAAGATTTCACACGTTATGGCTGTACATTGCACCCAAATCCCTCTGAAATCTCCAAGAAAAAAGCACTTGAAAGTGGGATGTTAAAAGTTGAGCAGAGCAATAATGCCACAATTGCCCAGCTGTTGTCCCAGTTTGTGGCTCGTTATGCGGGTTCAAGTGATGTTTTTTCACCTTTAAGATGACAAATACTTAGGTTCTCTGTAAAATAGGTCAACATACTGGCAGACATCCACATGTGTTTGCTGAGGGAACCCCTGGCATTCATGTGTGGTGCACCGGTGCCTAACTGCAAAACAATGCGCATCGTAAAACGGCTAATTTTAGCGCCGGTGATATTTTAGCGAAATGAATAGTTTTGCCATGCCAATCGAACTTTTCCATGTACGGACCAGTATTGGTCATCTTTCCTTTTCTCTTCTTATAACTATGAAACTCAGATGGCTAAATATTTCATCGCTAATTGTAGTGTTGAAACGATCTGACCGGGTACTTGTTTGCTCGCTCGCCACAAACTCAGCTCGTTTGTGCAGCCAGTTCGTTTGCACTAACAACCACCATACACCGTACTCCGTACAAGTACATGTTGACCGCGGAGTCGTAAAATATTTTACGACTCCCTGGTCGAGAGTCCAGTCCCACGCAAAGTGAACATCACTCGCAGTTACAGTGACCGTATGCCTGCACGACACTGAGTTGTTTCAGTTATCGTCGCAGCTTTTGTGGACTCCACTGATGTCTTGTTCCGCATCTGCTGAACTGTCGTAGGACATGCTTCTGTCACCTCTCCACTCCATTGAAAGTTACGCTCAGTCGTTTGGAAGTTTTCTCCCGCGATGCAGCGAAGAACAGGGTTACTTGCAATCTTTGCAAAAGGGTCTATTTTTTATAAGGCTGCTCAACGACGGCACTGAAACGACATCTCGACACCAAACAGCAGTCCGTAGCGAAGCAGCAGCAACCCCAAATGCCGGCAGTGATAAGTTGATAACTATTATTCGAACCAGCTGAATTAAAAAAAATCGAACTTAGAAAAAAAAGAGGACCATAAAATTATCCGTTTTGTCCAACAAAAACGATTATAAGTAGGATACTGTTGAGTCCAAAGTGTGCAACAATTAGCATAAAAAACTGACTGATGAGATCCTGACATTCAACGACCTGATGCTTAGCTGCAGCTGCATTACCTGCCGTAGTCCTTCGTCCTTTATCACCATCTTGTCATAGCTAACATTCTTAGCTCGCTGTGATGTTTAGCTTGTTTTCGTCTAGAGTGCGCTCACCTTCCCCTTTCTTACGTTACTTCATAACTTAGAACCTTCCAAGTTGGACGGCTGCTGGTTTGCACATTCTAGACGTGATGCAGCTAAGCATCAGGTTGTTGAATGTCAGGATCTCATCAGTCAGTTTTTGTGTATATCGGATATCTGGCGTATGTCACTATTTCCACAACATTGGCAAAAAGAGTAGTAATATTTCCACTGAAACACACCCACAGGGTGCCCGGTAGACTAAGTGGCCGGTAACTTGGGATCCGGATATGAGAGATAGGTGTAGCTCTTCGGCTTTGCCATAATCACATGGTTCTGCTGCGTTTGCTCTCTCTCTCTCTCTCTCTCTCTCTCTCTCTCTCTCTCTCTCTCTCTCTCTCTCTCTCTCTCTCTCTCTCTCTCTCTCTCTCTCTCTCTCTCTTTCTCCCTCTGTCTCTCTCTCTCTTTCTCCCTCTGTCTCTCTCTCTCTCTCTCTCTGTCTCTGTCTCTCTCTCTCTGTCTCTCTCTCTCTCTCTCTCTCTCTCTCTCTCTCTCTCTCTCTCTCTCTCTCTCTCTCTCTCTCTCTCTCTCTCTCTCTCTCTCTCCCCTTTCTCTCTCTCCCTCTTTATCTCTCTCTCTATCTGCCTATGTGCATTTATTTATGTTTTCTCTTTACAGCCAGAGTGTACACATAGTGTGATGGTCTCTGCATCCAAGAACCATCTCCGGCGATGGAGTCATTCATCTTGACCAACTTGCAGCTACATGTACTCGCGCATTGTTGAATGCTCTTGTTCTTTTCTGTTGGAATCCTCTAGTGCTATGTCAGTTTTGACACGTCCCCTTCTTTGTTCCAGCTTGCTTCGTTTTCAACAGCTGCCTTGGGTTGCCTGTCAGACACGAGTGTGCATGTTGCATTGTCTGCAAGTATCCTCCTTTGAGGAATTCTGTAATATTAAGATCTACATGACTGCATGCATGTATAATAACTATCCTTCTTTCTGCGTAATGTATGGCTCGGTTCTGCTCCTTATGCTGGGTCATCTTGTTATCAGGTTACATTGGTGTTTTGCGTCCGTGAATCCGGCCGGATACAGCAAACCTGAAAATCGTTTAAAAAAAGCACGAGCAAAAAGTAGTTGTGTGCGTGCGCGCGCGCGCGTGTGTGTGTGTGTGTGTGTGTGTGTGTGTGTGTGTGTGTGTGTATGTGTGTGCCTATAAGCCATGCAAGCTATAACATGGTGTAATCCCAGCACACGTTGCTATGTCCAACATAGCTGTTCGCTTCCACGATGGGCATATCTGAGTTCAAGTCTGAGTATGTGTGTGGGGGGGGGGGGGGGGGCTGAGTGGGTGGGTGTGTATGCATCTGTGTGTGTGTGTGGGAGAGTGTGCACACTTGTATGGTTGGGTATGTGCGTGTGTGAAAGTATGTATGTGACCACCACTTCGGACAGGCGTAGGTGCTCCGGGAGGATACCATGATTCTGCCAACCCACTTGCCGCTACATGAGCCCACGAGCAAGGTCATACTTTTCCATTTTATAATCAGCTTTAATAAAAATGGCTTTCATCTAATATTGACTGAGTACGAGGTCTATGAAATAGAAGCCGAGTATACGGCCGAGGTGTTTTACAAGGAGGTTGATACAGTACTAGTGGTGGTAGCTACGGACGGGTAAGCAGGGGTGGCTGACACTTTGGACTGGTCCATAGCGGTCGTGACGACTTCCAGCTGCTTCTGCTGAGGGTCTGCGACCCCACCCATAGGACAGCAGGAGCAGCACAGACAACTCACAAAGATGCTGCCGAATGTCAGGAGACACACTGTGACAATCAGTAGTGCCATATCGGCCCTGGGTCACACAGAAAGATCAGAGGGAACAAGAGAACTACATGGCGATTGTAGACTCCACTGCAGCCAACTTATTGCTTACGTCAAATATCCACTCGCACGCACGCACATGCACACGTGTACTTGTACTTGCTCGCTGTCATGACTGGTCATGCGAGACTCCCCCGGTTCGAAGAAGGGAGAGAGAGTCAGACTCAACAGGAATCTTTGAAAGATGACTCAATTGGCTATTGAACCGCACTGGCCGATTGGCCGGCTGATATCCCCAAACTCTGGGTGGACTTGCAAATGATCCCACTTATGGGATCACCACACATTATGTCAGTGGGAGAGGACAAGGTGCAGAAAAGGCATTGACGGCATCAAGATATACGTCCGGGGATCCAGCTGCATTCACCCCTGCCCCCAAAGTGAAAGCAATACTTGCTACTAGTGCGTTTGGCTGCATCAGAGTGGATCTGATAAAGGCTTCACTAGCACCATTGATTACACAAGAGTTGCTCTAGCCAGAAGTTGTCCCTCGGTCAACAGGTATGCACTGTATACTTCAGGTAGAAAGTATATGAACCCTGAAGCCAACAAAGGTGGCACGTACAACATTACACCTTCAAGCAGCTCAGTACGTAGGCAGCAGACCCAACCACTATCTTGCATAAATGTACCCACCAGCCAAACTAGTTGGCACCATACAAACACACACACATACCTACCGTATTTAACCGGTTGTAAGTCGACCCCGGTTATACATGTAGGTCGACCCCCGTATCCAGAAGTCTCAATTCTGCATTTTAAAGTTTTCACCCAACGAAGCACTACTAACCATTCCCTGCTACTAACACATCAACAAATCATGTAAACATTCCTTATTGGAGGGTATAACGTCCCAATCCTTGAAAAAGGCCAATAAACGAGCACAACTGTGTACACATGGGGCCCTTGTGCATGCAGTGCAGGTCATTTTTTGTAAGATTCTGATAGTTCCCGGTTATAAGTCGAATCCCGGTTGTAAGTCGACCCCCACCCTTTCTCCTTCTAGTTTTAGTCGTAAAAGGTCGACTTACAACCGGAAAAATACGGTATTATAATATATACACACCATGTACCACATACACACACACATACACACACACACACACACACACACACACACACACACACACACACACACACACATACACACACACACACACCTTGAACCTTGAACGTGCCCATTGCCGATGGCAATGATAGCGAAGGGACTATCCGCTAGCTTTGCAGTACGGAGCGTGGCGCTTGAGGTCCCCGGGACGACGGCAGACCTTTCCACATGCGCAGCGGAAGCCAGAGTCAGGATCAGGAGGAGCACGGGCGGGAGGACGACGATGAGCGATCTGCCTCCAGACAGAGCGATCCTGGGCAGCATCAAACCAGCAGTCAGAAGGCACAGGGGGGCTGATGGAGCGGAGATCATCCACGATGACGTCACGCCACCGCTTGCGTGGACCATGGCGAGGGCGTGTTGCAGGGAGCTCCCCAAACAAAACTCGCTTCGGCATGCGGTCGTCGTTCATCCGGCCAACATGGCCAAGCCAACGCAGTCGATATTCCCGGATGATGTCCGCGACGTCACAGTCAATGCCAAGGGTTCGGGCCATGGTAACCGAGGTGACGCGGTTGTCCCACTGGTCCCGCCTGGATACGCCAACGATGATGCGAACACACTGGTGATGAAAGGTGTTGAGAGAGCGCAGGTCCGGTGCCTTCGGCGTCCACGTCTCTGCTCCGTACAGGAGGGTCGTCAGCACAAGGGCGATGTACACGCGGCGCCGACAGCGGAGAGATAACGACCGATTCTCAAACACTGGGACACGGAGACTGCCGAACACACGCGAAGCCTTGGCGAGACGGGACTGCACATCATGCGAAGACTGCCCGTCCCGATGGATGACGCTGCCAAGGTACGTAAAACTGTCAACGGCCTCGATGGTGCTCTCACCAAGAGACACCGGCTCATTCATGGGCGAATTGACAGTCATGCATTTGGTCTTCGATAGACTGACCGTGAGGCCCCACCGCGCCGCACACGAAATGAACAATTCCGTGCACCGATCAAAAATCGGCTTAGTGGTGGCATACACTGCAGCATCGTCCGCAAACTGGGACTCTGTGACGACATCACGTTGCAGGCGGGACTTGGCAGTGCGGTCTCCAACCAACTTTCGGCCAACTCGGTAGTGCAGCTCAACACCAGCGTCCGGGCACATGGAGCGCCAATACCCAACGACTGCAGAGAAATACAAGTTAAATAAGACGGGTGCCAAAGTACAACCCTGACGCAGACCGTTGTTGACGTTAATGGCAGCAGTGACACCACCCTCGATGCGGACCTTCACCTCCATCGACTCATGCAAGGACTTGATGATACTGAGCATCCTTGGGGGAACACCAAACTTCTGGAGCAAACACCACAGCGCTGGACGGGGGATCGAGTCGTATGCCTTTCGCAAATCGACAAAGAGAGCATACAACGGCGAGTCATGTTCGTAAGATTTCTCAATTAATTGCCTGGCAACAAAGATCATGTCTGCACACCCTCTGCCCTTGCGAAAACCAGACTGTGACTCGGGAAGCATCTTCTCCGAGATTGTCTGCAGCCGGTTCTGAAGAATCCGCGCAAACAACTTCCCAACAACATCCAAAAGGCTGATACCCCTCCAGTTATCACAAACTTTCAAGTTGCCTTTCTTAGGTATTGGAACAACGATGGCATCCCGCCACTCAGCGACAACCGATGCCTCATCCCACACCAAATGCATGAGCCGAACCAGACGATCATGGAGCTCCTCACCACCCGAGATAATCATTTCGGGAAGGATACCTGATTCCCCACCGGACTTTCCAACTTTCATGGAGCGCATCGCCGCAAGCATCTCTGCCTTCGTCGGGGGATCATCCAGCTCGGTCTGCAGTGGCTCATCCGGGATAGCTGTCAAGACAGCTGGATCGTACTGGCTCTCGACATTCAAGACGCCGCCAAAGTGCCTGAAAAACCGATCCCGGATACCATCGGAGTCCGTCAGGAGTACACCATCCTCATGCAGCACTGATGTTTCACGCTTGGGCTGTCGACCTACGTGGAGGGTCTGCAACTTCCGGATGCAACGCCACTGAGATCCACCGCCAATCTCAGACCTCTCCGCCTCCTGCGATACAGACTCAATCCACTTTTCCTTGGTCTCCCGAACAGCCCGCGCCACAGCTCGCTGCTTCTGGCGGAAGCTCCTCATCGCTGATCGCGTGCCCTTCTGCAGCATCTCGTTGTTGGCTTGGTTCTTGGCATCGATCAATGGCTGCAGTACATCAATATTCTTTAGGAACCAGTCCGGCTGGATCCTCTTCCTTTCCCCAAGGACTTGCTCAGAAACCTCACACACACAATCCCGCAACGTCGACCACTCCTCATTGGCGCCTGACTGCCGGGGCCGTTGCTGTAGGCCGGTGGACATACTATCTCGAAACTTCTCACGAATAGCATCCCTTGTCAACACCTCCACAGCAGCCACGGCTTTTCGTCTTCCAGATGTAGGCGGGCGAGCTCGGCGCGGCTGAGCAGCACTGATACGAAGCTTGATGCGAACCATGAAATGATCGGTGAAACAATTGGCACCGCGCATAACGGAAACATCCTGACAATGCCAATGCTGAGACTGCCGCATGAGCACCATGTCGATAAGATGTGGGAGCCTGGTGGCGGGGTGAGTCCATGTACCACGCCGATGGTGAGGCTTTCGATACCACGTGTTCATAATGGACAGCTGGTTTGTAGCACACCACATCAGCAGCCGTTCTCCTGCTGCATTACACTGTCCAAGGCCATACCTGCCACGAACATCAGACCACATATCACCAGAAGCAGGCTGAACACCCACACGCGCGTTGAAATCCCCCAGAACAATTTGAATGTCATTACGTGGTACTCCGTCCAGTGTAGTCTGCATGTCCGCGTAAAATTTATTTTTCGTTGGCAAACTGGCCTTACTAGTGGGAGCGTAACAATTGATGACAGACAGGAACAAGTCCGACCGTCTCCTCCACCGCTGCGAGGGCACCCAATCACCCGCGTCCGCCAGTTTGAGTCGCGCCACCACTATTCTTGAGCCTACTGCCGTCCAGGACTTGCCACCACGTCGCCACGCGTCAGTCATCTCTGGGTTGAGGACGATGCCAACGCCCTCGTTGCGGAACGCTGGAGTACCAGCAGGAGGTAGCTGACGGCCCGAGTGTAACATAG